GGAATTTAAGACTCGAGTTGTTTTTATTTTCATTTTTTACCCAATCAGACTAAAGACATTTTAAAATGGATTTTTGTTGTTTTTCGATTTTTTTAATACAAAATATGAAATATTTTCTTTTTTTGTACCAGAGAGGTGTGACGCGTAAAAATACATATTTTTTTTTAAAAATTAATTTGGAAAGGAAAAAACTCAAGTTTATTAATTAACCATAAAACAGACTTATTTTTTTATTCAAACATGGTTTATAATTTTTTATAATGGCCTGATACACACTTCATGTGGTGTATATTTTTATAATATAATTTTGTGAAATAAACGTTATAAAAACAAAATGATTATAGTAGAGAGGATAAAAATGACTCGGTGTTAAATTAACTATTGTTCATATAAAATTAATTATGTAATATAGAGATAAACATTTTACCATGCCTGTCATGTTCCTATTATTGAAATTGATTTTAAACATCATGTTATATTGATAGACTATGTTTGAAAAAGCCAATTAAAATTATTACAAAAATTGAATCTATATGTTAAAAATAAATTAATAACAATACTTAAATTATAATATAAACATTGTTTAATAATTATTATAAAATTCGACATTTAAAGCACAAAAAGATGCCAGAAACACTTTTATACATGAATCGAGCTTTTTGTATTCTTGATTGTTTCGATTATGAGTATATTCAATGTTACGTTCTAAAGCATTATTTAACACAACAAGTATTCAAAACCGTTTTTTACAATAATCAAACAAAAAATACAATTAATAAAAAATTTTACTATTTATTTAAAATTTGTCTTCATTTTAAATTAAAATAATTATTTAATAAAAAAATTATAAAATCAGACAATATAATAAAGTAATTAATTTTTGAAAAAATGTTTGTGCCATAAACAGTGTTGATATCAACAGAATAAATATCTATAAAATAAACAACGATTCAGATATGTAAAAAGCTCAATTTTCAACAATATGTAACAAAGAAAAAGACAATTGATAACATTCCTTCCATCCCCTGCAATCATTCTTTTTTGTGTGAAAGATTGAAACTATTTCCTAAGTATCTAGAACACTTTAAAAATTGTGAAAACGAAGTTAATGAGTGTAAAACATAATTTGAGCAAATAAAGCTCGTTATGAAACAAATAGGAGATGTTGGGTGGTTTCGTGGATGGAAAACTAATATTAAAGTGTTTTTTTGGAGGAGCCAGAAGTGTAGAAGAACAAATAAGGAAGGTTGAAAAAATAAAAAAGGAGGGGAAGTTGGTCGACCGCGAGTTTTGAAT